GAACCTAGAGGAGGAGACCAACCAGATCCTTCTTTAGTTTTAGCTACTGCTTATCGAGGTACGGGGAAAAGGGGAGATTTATATGTAGAGTCACATGAGGGAATGGTTGGAGAAGAGTTCCTGTAGAGTTTTTAATAATTTTATAATTATTTTTGTTTGGAGAATTATCGGTATTATGAGATTTTGTATGTGTTTAGGATTATGAATATATAATTAATTTGTAAAATTGATGCTTTGGAAGAGAGAACGAAATCGTAGAAAAGTGCCTGTGAGTTAGTTTTTGGAAAATTGGGGGTTTTACTATTTGAGTTAAGATTCTACTAAATTGATGATTCTATTGGGTTTTATATTAATTTATAAATATTATTGTTACATTATTTGGTAAAATTGATGATCTAGATATGGAATGTGGTGTGCTGCCTTCGTACAAATGTATACATTATATCTACTGTTTTAATATTGAATTGATAACATGATGTGAGTATGTTGACATGAAATGAGATGTTAATGTGATATGATTGTGGTTCCTCACACATATGACCAGGGATGAAATGACCCTGGGTAAGTGATGCTACAGGGATGGCGTGCCCTGGCATAGTGTGGGATGAGTGAGGCAATTAACATGTATCACTTATGTCTAGAGTGGCACGACCTTGAGGTGGCGTGACCATTGGCATAGTGATAATTGCAAGATTTGTGATAGATTGGCGTGATTGTGAAATTGTGATGTGAATATGATGCATGATTAATAGAATTAGAATGTATGGATATGCTTGTAAAGACTTCATTAATTGACGAGTTATGATAAGATTATGTTGTGTTTTTCCTTGTGTTCTTTACATATAGATATTTTCTTTTCTCACCGTACAATTTGTGGATGTTTTAGGTGAGGAAGATCCGACTATGAGTGGCATCTAGAATGCCAATAGTTGAATTATGGGTATGCTCTGATATTGTGACATCGGGGCAGAAGATTTCTAGAACATGGATTTTTATATGGATTTGGAATTGTATTTATTATTTTGAAAACAATTTGTAAACTCTTAAGTTTTTCTTTCCAAGTTTTATTTTCAATTATTTTGGATATTGAAGAATAATTATGAAGGTTTTATGTGAACCCTTTTACCAACGTTGAAATTTTTATTATTTAGTTTATTTACATTGTTACAATATATATGTGTTGGGGTAGTAAGGGTGTCACATTGTGTGTGTGTGTGTGTGTGTGTGTGTGTGTGTGTTGGGGTAGTAAGGGTGTCACACGCCCGGCTTAACCCTTCCTGTGCTTCATATTCATCAATATGAATGCAAGCCTAGTGTCAAGGACTCATGCCCAAGGCCAATGCGTTTTCTAGAAAATGCAGGACAAACAGAACATCACCAAGACTCAAAATCAAACATACACCCATCCTTTTATTAATCCAATTGGCTAGAAACACTTATTTTTGCCCAAAAGCAAATTATACGTCATTAATTCATGAAATCACACATCAATTAACAATATCCCAAATTCTCAAGAATCCTAACCCACATAGACATTCCAATGAATTCAATTATCTATCGAAACATTAATTTTACCGAATAAAACAATAAACAAGTTCATAGTTCAATATAGAATCTAATTGGATCGTTAATTTCAACTTTAGAAAAGAAATGGAAGAATATCAAGAATTTAGGGGTTTCTCCAACTACCCATTCTCTCTTATAATCTCACACATGAATCACTCATTTTCCTACTCGTACCTTATTGCGTCAATAGAAACAATTTGATGCAGTTTGGGATTGATCTTAAGCACTGCTCTTCAAAGCTCCCTTCTTCTCTTTTCCCTTTCTCCAAACCTTTCAGAACGCAAAATGAGGCCAACATGACTAACTTTGTCTGACCCATTTCTTAAAATTCCATTAGGTCAGGTCAACTCAACTCATTTCCCTTCTTCTCAAAAAAATAAATAAATATTATAAATATCTTCCCGCTTATAAACTTAAAAATAATTTTGATTAAAATATTAAAATATAATAATATTATTATTTAAGAAAATAGGGTGTTACATATTAAATATTTTGGACATTTAATATGCAAAATAAATATTTTTAGCATTAAATATGTGAATTAAATGTTTTTAACATTTAATATGCATATTATATTATTCAAATTGTCAAAAAATATTTAATATGGCCCATCAAATATTTTTTGATATTTAATGTATGAATTAAATAATTAATATGTTTACATTTAATATGGTGCTTTAAATATTTTTAACATTTAATATGGTACTCAAAATATTTAATAAAAATTGAGAATAAAAAATTATTTAATATTTTAAAAACTTAGAATATATTTTATATAATGCATTAAATATTTTTTATTCACCATTTATTCGCTAACACTATTCTTTTCGCAAAATTTTTAATAAATAAAGTCAATTTCTTACCAAAAATCAATATAAAACTATGAAAAAAAATCAATATAAATTAATTATATATATATAATATTAGAAATGAAATTTTCAAAACCATAATTAAGAAACAAATAATATGAATTCAAGTCAAATTTTCAACCTAAGCAAATTAAAAACTTTCAATTTTGATTTATTTTTTAAAATTATATTTATCAACCAGATTAATTAGTAAATTCATTAAAAATGTTGGTAATAAAATTTTAATTTTAAAATATATATTTTTTAAAATATACTTTTTCAAAAGTCAATAAACACATCCGTCTAAAATGGTTGTAACATATACTTTTATCATTTTAGTAACATAAAAATATTTATTGTTATTATTTTTTTGTTCACGGTGATGTTATTGATTTCCGTTTGATTTTTCAAGTTAACATTTGACCACTTTGAAGCAAGGTTCATGCACCCTAAGACTTCATAGCACTTGCTCATAGCAAAAGTAATATAGTCTTAAACTCATATACCATTTTTTTTTTTTTTCATTCTAACACACCCATACACACCTCCTAGGGTGTAGTAAAGAAAAACAATGTTGAGGGCCAACTTAGTTCATTTAGGAAATGATCCTTTGCAAATTGCAGCTTTCTTCTTCAACAAACTCAAGAAAGCTCAAGTCCTTGACACGACATTTCCTCTACAGTTAGTTAGTCTTTTGTTTCCTTTTTCCTTTCTCTTCTTTGTTTTTATGTAGTTTTTGTGGAAATTGTGGATATATAAACCTTTTGTTCTTGTTTTTCTTTGGCAAAATCCTAGATTTTGTTTGATTTGTCTAATTCTTCATTCAGTTCAGTGATAGACATGAAGGTACCTGTTTAACATATTGGTGTTATTGTGTTAACCCTTTTGGCAAAAACGATATGACTATCATGGTAAAATATGATGAATAATTATATTTTTCCTTTTTTATATATAATTTAAATAATTTTGTATGATTTAGAGGTCTATTATATATACAAAGCGATTATCCAATGTGTCGGTAGATGATTGTTAAATCCTAAATTCCTCTTCAAATGTGGAAGTTATATATTGTTAAATCATCACTAGGTTTTTCAAATTCAAACAAAATTGATTCTTAACGATGCCATTAGATTTTTATAAATAGTTGAAATAAAAACAAACTTTATGGCTATGAAGAGCTTAATAATCAAAGAGTCAAATTGGAAATAATTTTTATAGGAAAAATTACAAACAACAATTTTTTGGTGAAAATATTTCGTTTCGGAAAATTAGCAACTCAAAGTGTTTTTTCTTCAACCACTAATAAATGAGTAGTCTATTATTTATTCCTAAATTAAAATTATGTAGTTAACCCATAATTTTGTTTATTTATTTATTTTTGCAATTTTCTCAATTCTATGTTATGTTGTTGGTTTCTACATTTAGAATAGACCTTTTCATTTGTATCTAATGTCCATATTACATTGGGGAAGTGTTTAAGTTTGGTAGTTTGTGATGATTCTTTTAATGTTGTTGTGACTTTTCCATTTTAGATGCATAATTTACTCTCAAATTTTTTATTTCATGTTCTACTAGGTTAGAGGTTTTGTTTATGTAGAAGTTATGAAGTGTCTTTCTTGTTTAAAGTGTTGCAATATTGGGCTTGTTTCTAATTTCGTAATTCTTCATTATGTATTTAATTAAATTTTTTTTTTTTTTTTTTGCTCAGATACTTGAACTAACACCTGCATATAGATGGAAACATACCAATATTATTTAAAAAGTATTTATAGCTTTATTTAAAAAGGTATTTTCTTTAAATTAAGAATTAGAATTAAGCACATGTATGATGATTTGTCACAACTTTATTTAGTATTTACTTAGATGATTACAAGTTAGTAGTCATATATAGCTTTATTTACTCATAGGTGATCAATGATTACTATTTAGTACAAATCAACTCAAATTTATGAGATGATTCCTCTCACAATTAACATTGTAATTATATGTATATACACGTGTTGACCGATTAGCCACACAATTTTTCTCCTCCTAACTTCTCCAAATTTTATACTCTTTGATGATGAATGTTACATCCATTGACTTTGTGTGTTGTTGATTCAATCATGAATTGGGAGAGACTATGTAGTAAAGTAGCTACTATAATATTTAGCATTTTATTTTTCTTTACTCGGTAAAATATGAGAAATGTTAAGTTAGTTAGTTTTATTTTCACTTATCAACTGGTTATTAGAGATTGGCAAAAGCACTTTTATTTATTATGTTTAATGGTGCATAGTTCTATTAGTTACAAAAATAATATTAAGAATGTTTTCAGTTCTATTAATAATCAACTAGATGGAATTCATGTTCATGTTATGTTATTGTTTTGTCATTCATTTTGTTTAATTTTTACCTTCTACAGACAAAATTTTGCAAGATGAAGTGAATGTTGTATCATATGGAGTACTAGGCTATCTTCTTCTTGGAGTTGTCAGAATATACTCAAAAAAGGTTGAATATGTGCTCAAAGATTGTGAGATGCTCATTAAAATCAATAAATTTGATATCAACATTGAGGACATTGCATGTGTGGAAACCATTCGTATGTCTATTACTATACCAGCCAAATTAGAGTTAGATGCTTTTGAGTTGGATGTACCTGAAGATGATACCGAGTAAGGTTTTATTAGGTTAAAACCTAGATTTTAATAGGTTATGGAATTTTTTTTGTCATTTCATTACTTATCTTCTGTTGTCTTAGAGGCCATATTGCTGCTCTAGAAGAAATTACTCTTAAAGGTATTGGAATTGTTTCACTATTTTTTATTTCATAGTAATTTTAATGTTATTATATTGTTTAAGTAATATGTTGTGAAATCAAACAGAGGCTGAGCCAAGAATTGAGGGATTTGGGCTATTGTCTCATGAGAAGGTATGCGTTCCGTAGTTGTTGATAGGTGTTGCATTAAAATGTTTCAATTTTTAAGCTTTACTTGAATGATTTTTCTTCCATGTTATATATTCAAGTAGTTTTGTTTTTGTTTATGTTTAGCTCTTCACTAATAAATATTTAAATCAACTTTTGTCTAATAATTTTTTTTTTATTTTCCCTGTGTATATATTTGGCATATCTATTGGATTCCAGAGATAAACACATTGACTTCTAAAAAAATTCTAGAAATAACGTAGCTTTTAAACTAGATTTTAGTACAATGTCAACAAACACAAGGTTTTCCCCTATCTCCAGGAGTGTCCTCCTTTAGAACAACAAAAGCAACAAATTGTTATTACCTTAATTGCCTTTGGCAACTGTGAAATAACACATATATCAACTATAAATGTCACATGCCTATTAATTCAACCCTTTTGAATTGTCCTTTGATATACTCTTTCATCTTCATCTTTCTTTTAGTAATAAATCTTACTTTGTATCTTTTCACTTATTCTTTGAAGTTTTTCTTAATTTTGAAAACTTGACTCCAATAGCTTCATAATTCTTAAGAACTTTTCACAATTTCCAATGGCATTGATTTCTTCCTTTATCTCTTTTTACAGTTTTTATCTTTCATTGCTTCATATTTAGAGGTTCATTGTCAACATAAAAATAAAATACATTTATATTTTAAGCATCAAATATTTCTTGAATGCTTCTCATTTTCTTAGTCTTATGCTTGAACTACCTTTAAAAGATAAGGCTTCGTGAATCAAAGGAGTTGGTGAAGGTGGTGGAGTACAAATTAATTTGGTGCTACAATCTCTTGATCACTTTCCTCAAAATAAGAAAAAAAAAATTATTGGTGTCTTATTGTTTCTCCTAATTTCATGTCTCTTCTTCAAGTTCTACATCTACTCACTATAATCTTCCCATTCTTTGGGTTATACAACCTTTAGCCTTTTGAACTTTCATCTAAGTTAGTAAACACATGCTTCAGACTCCTATCATCAAGGTTGGATCTTTCTTGGTTGGGCACATGAGCATATGCATGCTCCCAAAGATTCTAAGATATAGTCAACTCTAGGCTTCACTAGACTATTTTATTGTGGGGTTCTATAAACAGTTAGAGGGTGACAAATTTCATTATTTTCACAAAATTCATTAATTATTTTGATGTGAATTTACTTCTATCGAATCTTGGATCCTTGATTTACATAACCATTTTCTTTTTCTATAACAAATTTAAATTTTTTAATTGAGTGTTGACATGAATTTGATAATGTAGTTGACTAGTTCTAACATGTTACAACTCTTGCAAGATGATCTCTATTATCCAACTTTTTTCTTGGCCAAATCCTTCAAAATGTTATAACACTTTCCAAAATTATTGAGCTTTGCTTACAGTTTTTCCGAAATGCATGTTTACAAATATCTTGGATAGTGTCTCCCACTTTCTCACCTTATCCTTATGTGAGAATTAAATGTTTGTATCTTAGCATTCATCTCCTACATTTCTTCTCAACAAATAGATTTTACCTTCAAAATGGCAATATGACACCCTAATTGTCTTCTTAAATTCTATTGCACAACCTATACATTACTATAATTGTCACACCATGACGTATAACAACATGGTCAAAAATTAATATAAAAATAGTTACATGATAACACAATACAAAACTATAACTGCCTAATTCAAAATTAAACTTCTTGGTATCTTTTGTGTGGATTGTCACTAACATGTTGGTTAATAAGTAATTTTATTAATTTATAGATTTCCTTTAAAGGCCTTCAAATTGATTATGCAGTGCAAGCAATGTATAGTGTATTTTTTTTTTTTTTTGAAAAAGATAGATATACTAAGGCATCACTATGTGGAGAAGAGATCCTAACTAGGTTAGCACTTCAATCCACACCAATCATCTGCAGTATATCGATATGAACTGAAATATAAAAGAAAGTAAAAGTACAAGTGGGAGACCGAACCAAAACTCACGATAAAATGTAAAGAAAAACAAATGAAGCATAGGCCTAAGCCATTGCACAATATCAAATCATAAAGTCCAGATTACTACCCACAATTTGGTACTAATTTTGGTTTGGGCACAAATCAAGAAAATTTTGATAATTTGGCTCTTCATGATCTAGTTCTAGGCCTATCCGATGCTGATTTTTTATAGATATATTTCATATCTTACTGATATCTCGATTCTTCATTATATTTAATGTCTTTATTTTTTTTCTTTTTTAATTTGATCTTCGTCATTATAGATTTTCTGCTGATAATATTGAAGTAAAAATCATGGTAGGTAAGATTTAATGATTTTCTTTAGCATCTATAAAATAAAATAAGGCATAGATTTAGACCAAATTAATATGCTTCAACTTATCTTGACTTTTAATTAAATAAAGGGATATGATGCTAACTGATAAAATTATACAAAAAAATGTTAATTATAGTCATGTTTGAAATAATATTAGGATAGGGTTGATAAATTAAGTGGAATGACCCTTCAAAATATTTTTTTATATTGAGGGGAATATTATTAATAACTTATAAAATATTATACTATATATAAGGAAAAATTCTTATATACATATAGTTTATAAATATATTTAATTAAAAATGTAAAGTTAATTAAATTAATAATTAAAAAAGCAATTAAATTCTTTTTGAAACTAGTTTAATATTATCTTACCTTTTTCTGAATAATTTTGTTTATTGATAATTAGTCATTCAAGACTTGCTAAATATGTCAAACATGGCTTAAATTTTGGAGGATTAGGCATGCCAACCTGCTTTTACTTATTAGGTTGGTTTTTAATAGGTTAAGTAACTTAACTTAGCCATTTTCGACAAGTTGACCCAGAGAGTTTAACAAACTTTACCATTCCTAATACAGGTGATTTGGAAAATCTGAACCATCAATGATTGATTGAGTGACCTAGCTAGTTAAATTGCATTCCTTTTTAATTACTATAGGCTTGTTGATTGGGAACTTTTTCATATTCTTGATGGTTTTAAATTTACATAAAAAAAGAAAGAGAAAACCCTTATGTTAGTTTCTGGATTCTACACATCATAAATATCGTAGTTTTGTGATTAATTTGCAGTTTGAAGAATTTGACGTTGATGAAAGTACCTCCTCCTATGATGATCATGTGATGCAAAAGTATGTCCATCAAATTTTTGAAAATTATGTTTTCTTTATCCCGTCATAATATGTTGTTGCTTATCATTTGGAATTATTGCATATTTTTTCATTGAACTTATTTAACCGTGTAATATACCTAGCAATATTCGTCTATCTCAACTGTTGATGGACGTGGACATGGACATTGAAAGTTTTCTACGAGATAGTTCACTTGATGTGACTCCCCAGCCTGAGTTTCAAGTTGATTCATTTGGAACGTCGAAACGAGGTTCATAAAACCATAATTCCATAGAGGAATTGTAAATGCAATAGTTGTATATTTTCTCTATTTTTGGCATGTTGATCACTATCTTAATTTTTTTTTCTTAAGAATCTAATTTTTCAGGTGTTATTACGTCAAATTTGAAGCTGATTTCAACACCAACTATGAGAGAGCATCCTCAATTTTCTAAAAGAAAGAAAATTGTTTTAGACCATAAAAGACTTGTCCTGAGCAATGAGTATGTCATAGTAATTATATAAAATATATTCCCACAAGCCCTTTTAATTATTATTTCTTATTGATAGAGATTGGTGTGGAAAAATTTGTGCAATTATTTTAGTAAATATTCTATAACTGATTGTTACCCGAAAATTTAGTACATTTACTTTGATTTCTTACACTTATAGGAAATCCACCAAATCATTGGTTTCTACCATTTTCTTTCCTTTTCTTATAAAGGTTGTAGGAGTATATATCTAGACCATGTGTGTATCATCTAAATGTTGAATAATACCCCATCTTGCTCAATATATAAAATGGAATGAATGAGAGCATGGTTCCAATCTCTAATTGCTTTTGTTTCTACTGAAATAGTTTGAACACCTCTCTTTGGCAAATGATTCTTTGCTACTAGGTGCTTTTTTTCATTTTCCTTTCTCTCATAACTTTATTAGCTTCCATTGGTGATTCCATGCATTAAACAATTGTCTTAATTGCTAGAAGTTATTACATAGGATGCACCTTATCTTATTGCAACTTCAAGGGTGGTGTTTAGTCAACCAGATACATGACTCAAATGAAGCTTATAAATTTTGAATTTTAATATTACTAAAATATGAGAGAAAAAACCTCTAAACACCATTTTGATTCCTATTCTTAGAGTAAATTGAATATTTTTTTCATCCTTCTTTGTCTCATGTTTCTATACTTGTCAGCACTTTTTTAGAACTATTATCTTTTGATTTCACTCTAATATTTAGAGTTTGTTTATATACAAACTAAAAGCATTTTTTAAGTTTTTTTTACTAAAAATAGAGATTAATTTTAATAAATAATCTCTTAAAAGAATTTTTAACTTACATTGAAATAGGCTCTTGATAATATGTAACTTTCCATTTTGAACTCTGATTGTACACTTTCTTTTTTGAACCATTTCAGGGTACTTAAAGAGAACATTCGTAATGCAAGTGACTTAGTGTCTAACAGAAGAAAATCTCACCGTACTGTACATACTATGCAAAGAGAATCTCTCATTGCTAGTCTTCCTAATAGATTCTATGAGCCTTTGCATCCTTGTAAGTTTGATTTGTAACTCTCTTTTTGTTCATAAACTCTTATATCTCTACTAATGTTGTTTTTCTCTAGGTTCCTCAAAGCTTCAACTCCTATTCTCCAAGAAGGAAATGAAAATACCAGATTCCCTACAGATTGTGGAAACTTTAGGGAAGTTAGATTTGTCAGAATCTCAAATTGTTGGCAGTCTAGAGCCTATAGCAAGTATTCTACCAACCCCTTATCATTGCCCAAATGTATCTGGATCTCAAGCTTCTAGAATTCTAGAGCATATAGTACCTTCTAGTACAAATGAAAGCATAGAGATTGAGCAATCTTCGGAAAGGAATGAAGTGCTTAGTCTCACGGATGAGGTAAGGAATAACTAAATGATGAAAATTCTCTTTGATGTTATAACAAAAACACTATGATTAGTTTGTCATACATTCATAAATGTCTCCACACAACTCATGTAAAGAAAAACATTGTTGTTCAATCTAGGAACCTTGAATTAATATGAAACATTAGATTATATGACAAAGGCAAACATTGTTAGAATATATGAAAATATCAAATATTATCTTTGATTATAGAGTATCCCATAAGACTAGCTTCCTTTGTATTATCTCTTTGGATTTTATTTGTTTCCAATTTATTTAGTATTAGTATTTTAGCATGTGTAATATATGTGTAGTCTAAATATTTATTATATATAACTAAAGTTTGTATTAAATTATATATACAAATAAATATTATGTTTAAATATATAAGTTATTTTTAAAATTTGTATAAATAGATATTTTTAAACATATAAATTATATTTTATATTTATGATAAATAATTTATATTGTATTACAAGATTATTTTTATTTCAGATAATTTATTCTAAAATATTAAAATTTGATTCATAAATAATTATGATAAATAAAAATCAAATTAGATAAGAAATTAAAAAAAATTATAAAAACTCTCTCATTCAAGAAAAATTTCTAAAAATGTAGTCATAAGAAAAATATATATAATTAATATATAGGGGTTAATTAAAATTTTTGTAATTAATTTATTATACAATATTAAAATTTGATTCATAAATACTTATGATAAATAAAAATCAAATTAGATAAGAAATTAAAAAAAAAATCCTAGAAACTCTCTCATTCAAGAAAAGTTCCTAAAAATGCTCTAGCGCAAGAAAAATGCTTGTAATTAATATATAGGGATTAATTACCATGTTTGCATTTTCATTTGTTTAAAATTCCCACCCCTAATCCTTCTATTTTCCTCTACTCATTAATTTTGAGTTATAATAAGTCCCTCTTTAGTTTTCTTGTTTTCTCCTTATTCTTGGACTATGATCTAATTAATGTATATGTTTGTCTTAGGAAATAAATTCAAGTGCAACAGAGAATTCAGAATTATGTGAGAACTCTTGTAAATCTTCATTTATAATTTTAATATTTTTTTTTAATTTCTATGCTTAGCATGATAGTACATATATAATTTCTTTATTTTTTTTCTTCTTTCTTTATTGTAGGTGGGTGGTCTGGTTGTACTAGGTGAGATATTAGTAGGATTTTGGAAGTTCAACAATTCAATTATTGTTTACAAGAATGACTTGTGATGGTCTTCTATTGTGCAGGAAAGTTGCAAGTTACTTGCACCAGAGTTTTCTACATCCAAAGGAACAAAGAGAGGAGGATGTTGTAAACTTTTCACAAGTTTTTAGAGGCAAGGCCCCGAAAGAATCTGCAAGGTTATTTTATGAAATACTGGTATGTTCCATTTGAGTATGGTATATTGATGAAATTAAAAAAAAATTACTAGACCTCATAATTGACCAATTTTTCTGAATGTTATTTGTGGAGTTGTTTTCTTATTGAAAAGGAATTCAAATTATCACTTGATTAGTGGAGAGAAAGAGATTTTAACCTTACTTTTTGTCTAATGTTTTTCAGGTTTTGAAAAGTACAGGCTTTGTAGATGTGGAGCAAACGGAAGCTTATGGTGATATTGCAATTTCTAAGCTCCCAAAATTAGATCAAAGTTTTTGATATAATAGTCTATTAAATTAAATTACATAGGTAGATATCAAAGGTGATATAGAAATAGAAAATTGGTAGGATTCTGGTAGATTTATTTGTAGTAGTTTTTTGATTGTGGAATTAATTATTCTTATAATTATGCATCATTTTACCTATCCTATTTATTTTAACAATTATCTATCGCCAAATTTGTGGATTTCCACCACAATTTTCTCAATATAAGGCAAAGTTAGAAACTTTAATTTATCACATTTTGGCAAATGATATAAAGATTCAAAAATATTTTTGAAATCTAGAGAAAGCCTTACTTATCTAAATTTGTTTCATCACACAATAGTCTTTTCTAAGTGTGAGAATCAAGTGCACCAATTTACGTATGATTCGTAAGACGTTTTATGTTTTCTTCAATGGGTGTCTTGTTTCTTGGAGCATAGAAAAAACGAAGAATGGATTCACAATCAAGTTTACATAAGAGTTATTGTAAGTTATTGAGTGGAGTGAGTCTACCAAGACTTACTCTTGAAGCAAAGTAGTTCCCTTCTCATATATATATATATATATATATATATATATATATATATACAAAATTCACATTTAATATAAAGTTATTGAGCGGTGTAATACTTAGTAAAAGTTATATCAGTATAATTATAACTCCTCTCATATATATATATATATATATATATATATATATATATATATATATGTGTGTGTGTGTGTGTAGCATGCAAAATTGTTTAGGTATTTAATAATTTTATTAATCATTTTTTATTTAATTTGTTGACACTCCCAAATATATTAAATGGTTGTCTCTTTTTTTTTTTTTTGTCTTCATTTTTATAGTTACTAATGGTGTTTCAGTTTTTGGACAAAAGTTATTTTCAATGGAAATTTTAAATTTTTTGACAAAAAATATCTGTGGATAAAAATCCATCAAAAGTTTTAGATTAAAACTTACATCATAATTCTATTGGTAATATCTATTACAAATTTTACAATTTTTGATAGACAAAAATTCGTAAAATAAAATCATAAATAAATTTTTCTTATCTACATAATTGAATCTATTAGTAACATCTGTTGTTAATGTCATTTTTCTGACGGATCTAAATTCATCAAAAAGAATTTATTAGTAATTAACCTTTTTCTTGTAGTGAGTACTCATATATAGTTGTATAACAACTTAAAGCTCCAAAATGATTTAAAACCTCCACTAGTTTATATTATTAAGTACAAGGCTTATGGAGAAGATTGACATAATTAACTTACACAAGACTAAACATTAGTTTTGTTGTAATTTATTTTACTTTCTTGATTTTACAACATGAATCCATCATCATCAAATAAACTTTGAAAGTTATTCTCTCTATATATATATATATTGGCTCACAATCTAAGGGTATATTTTGCCTACTCATAATTACTTGAAGCTCTAAAGATTCAATGTCTCAAATTAGGGAGCATGTTTTGATTACAAAAATAAGAAACTAGATTTTTTTTCCTTTTGGTTGTCTATCATTTATTGGAAGAGAAAAATAAATACTATTTATATATTTTCTTCAAAGTTGGTATATAGATCCCCAATAAGAGCTACTAACTAAATGATTTAGTATTGGCAATCCCATGATTGCAATCATTTATTGTTACAAGAAAACAACCTACATGTAGACACAAACTCAATTTTCCAAATGATAACAACATATTGAACTAAATTTCTACGTTGCGAGAGAAAATGTTTAAAATGAGTTTATCCATTTATTACTAGTTAGTTCTCAAATGCAAATTGTGGATATACTCATCAAACCACTTGTCTCGAGCCCTTTCAAAGGACTTTAATCCAAGCTTGGAATGGTGAAGATGCACCTTTTAGCATAAATGGTGTTTTAGGATTTAGAATCAAGGTTAGTTAGTAGTTTCGATATCTAGATTACAACAATTAGTTTTAGTTATGAAAGTTGGTATTTTTAAAGTTTTTCGCAACTAAACAGTTAAGTTAATAAAAGTTGTTCATCCAAAAGTGTGAGTGATAAGGGATAGAATAAAATACTTTGTATTTTTATACTAGTTCACTCAATTGTGTTGCATCCAATTACTTGCAAACTCAAAGGACTATACTAACTTGGAAACTTTTGTAAACAAGTATTCTCAATCTCATTCCTTGTTAAACCAAGTATTTTCTATGCCACTTTTGGCTAAGATGCGACAACACATTGAAGTATTGTTTAACAAGTCTCTTCATACTTATAAGAAAAAGGTTTTGAGTGTTTACAAGATAACTCTAATAGAGAGGATACGTATGTTTAGGTACACTCAAAAGAGGTTTTACTTGTTAAGGTAGGGATAACTAGCTTCATTTTTCTCTATGATCATTCACTTGATGATGATAATAGAAGACACTTAACACTTAGAGATATTTTGTCAATGTTTTGGCATAGTTGAAGGAGCATTTATACAATATTCACAAATTTTTACTCTTCAAGTCTTCTTATAATTTTAAGCTTTAGAGATATATTCATTGGTGAGAGCCTTGAAACTTTGTCGTTTGAGGTGTGATCTTTGATATTCACAATATGGTTGTTCTTAACACTTGTTGAAATGCTTCAAGGCTTCATAAATTATGTTTGATAAGGGAATGAAGTAGAGACCTTTGATTTTGAACGAGCTTTTATATGTGCTAATAATTCTCTTTGTGGCTAACTTTCTTTTTCTGGACATTGGAAACATATTATCCCAATTTGCGAACATTCATAAAAGAATAAATAAAGAGATATAACATTATAAAAATCAGTAGATTATTATAGCACTTATCATATATGTTTTTTTGAACATTTAAATATGTTTATTAAAAGCATGAAGCGTTTTACAAGCATTAAACTTATAATCACTTGTAAGACGCAAATGTTTGTCATAGGCATTGAACATTGGACATAAACATTGACTATCATATTTTACTAAATGTTACATTTGTCTTATTTTACGTTTTTGTAGAATAGACACTACAAGAAAAATGCTGATTTCCGACGGAAATTTCTGACGGAAATAGGCAAATTTCCGACGGATTTTTCTTTTTCCGATGGATTTCAATCCGTTGGAAAAAGTGGCGTCGGAAAAGAAAATCCGTCGGATAATTCCGTCGGAAATTATAATTTTTTTTTTAATTTTAATAAATTTATTAATGTAACAACTCTCATATTTGACCTCTCAAGGGTTCTATTTCACAATAGAAAGTGGAAGTAATAGGAAAAGATCCCCAAATGTCAGTAAACACAAGCTCTAAAGGCTAAGAATATACAGTTGTAGATTGTATAAAAGGTAATTGATGTACTTTCCCTAAACAACAAGAGTGACAATTAAGATATTCAAATTGTCCTTTGAAGGTTGATTTCTCAGGTGGTTGCATGACAATTTTCGTCTATGTCTAGTAGTCTATGTGTAGCTCAGGCCTTGACCTTTGTCTGAGCATTTATCATTAACGCATTAACTTTTCCTTTTGTCTGGTCAACTTATATATGGTTAGACTTTCAAATTATCTTTAACCAACCTTCGTCTAAGTCTTTATGTTTTGCTTTAGTTTGTGCTTGACGCGCTTTCTTCTTGTTCTTGATTTGGCTTGTTGGATGCTTGTGTTGGCCTTTTGTCTGTCGTCTTGTATCATTTGATGCATATGCTTGTTCTTCATTTTACATGTACTCATGTTCTTCTGAAATACTAACACACTTGTTAGAGATAACCACGTGCATTATATTTGTCACACTCAAAACATTTCTGGGAATTGCTTTGTTTGACTTAACATTATGTTGAGTGTTGAATCCTAGTGGCTGAGACATATAAACTGATTCTTGAAGGTCTCCATGAAAAAAAAGAATTATTGGTATTTACCTGATGTATAGGCCACTAATTGGTGACAGCTAGGGATAAAACTACTCTGACTGTTATTGGCTTTACTACTAGCCTGAATGTCTCTGAAAAATCCAAACCTGGTTTTTGATTGTAGCCTTTAAGCCAACAATCTGGCTTTGTGTCTTTGAAAGCTCCCATCTGAGTTGTGTTTGGACTTAAAAATCCACTTGCATCCTATAGGTTTATTTCCGATAAGAAAGTCTACTAAAGACCAAGTTTGGTTGGATACAAGAGCTTGATACTCATCTTCATAGCCTTTAGCCATTCAGGTCTTGCCAAAGCTTCTTTCATTGTGTTTTGGACCTAGTGGTCATGGGATGAGCATTTTGTGGACCACTTGATGAGACACCTGGTTAAATTATTGGAATAGTTGTTACAACAATAGGATTAGTATCATTTATAGATAAAGCATCAATAACATCTAAACTAGTAATAAATGCAGGATTAGAATTAGTATGATGATCATTTTGAGATGGTGATGTCAAAACAGTAAGATGACTTAATTCAGAATTATTATGAACAGAATTGGATGAGCTAATTGAAGGAATAAAAGGATTAGGTTGTGTTTGACAGGGGAAAATTGGTTCAAAAAATTTAACATTCCTAGAGATATACCTTTTTCCATTTGGAGAGAGGCAGATGTAGCCCTTGTGATTAGGTTGTATCCTAGAAAGAGACAGTTGAGATTTGAAATCAAATTTATGAGGATTATAAGGCCTTAGCAAGGGATAACAAGCACAACCAAATATTTTGAGAAACTTGTAATCTAGTGTTTTGTGAAACAACATTTCATGAGGGCTAACATAATCAAGGTTTGGTGTAGGCAACATATTAATAAGAGATGTAGCAGTAAGAAAGGCTTCTCCCCAAAAGCTTAAAGGAAGTGAAGCTTGAGCTAAAAGAGTGAGACCTTTCTCAATAATATGCCTATGTTTGCGTTCGGGGCTTCCATTTTGTTGGTGTGTATGTGGGCAAGATAGTCTATGAATAATTCCATTTTGTGTTAAGTAAGGAGAAAATTTAAGGAACTTTTTTTGCATTATCAGATTGAAGGGCTTTGAGCTTAGTTCCAAGTTGTTTTTCAACAAGGGATTTAAATTGTAAAAATGTAGATAAAGCTTGAGACTTGTATTGTAAAAGATAGATCCAATTGTATTTAGAAAATGCATCAAGAAATACAATATAGTATCTACTTCCATGGGTGGAAGTAAT